TCATAATCGTGTTGGTTATCGTTATGTCTCTAATAAAGTTTTATTATTAGGAACGATTAAACATGCAACTAATTCCAATTGAAGATGATATTGTGAGTATCAATGATAATTTAAAAGATAATGGATCGTCAATGAATTATAATGATATTGTTGAGGAAGAAATTTTAGAGGAATCCTATTCTGGATCTGAAGATGCTAAATTATTTGAATGAATACAATACTAAAAGGTAATTATAAAATTTTTGAACAATTTTTCTAATTTTTATTTTTCTTTATAATAATGTCACTAATTGCTTATAATATTATTGAAAAACACCTTCGCACAAGTAATAATACCTTAAATTTTTATAGATACGATCTTATAACTTATGTGCTAATAACTTGCAAAATATTGAAATATATTTATCAATTTATTATGTAAATGCATTTATAAAATCATTAAACTTAATGCGTATACCTGATATTACTTGTATTGCATAATTACTTAAAAATAGGAATTTGTGAAAAATATAATGTTTATTAGTAATCGAAAAATCCGCAAATATTTAATTAAATTCGTAAACAAGTAAAATGTAAAACTTTCCAAAAATGATGATATTCTCATTTTTTTGTGCTCACAAATCTTCGGACGAGGTAGATATTAGTGAAAATATTTATAACTGGTTATTTTTGCATATAATCACCTTATTTAATCTCCTGATGAAGGTCATTATTCCAAATATTTCATTTTAATTAATTGTTTTAATATAATTATAAATTATTATTTTTAGATTCCATTAGGCATTGCTGCAGTTGGAAAAATCTTTAAAGCTATATAGACATCAAATAAACCTATATTTGTCTCAGATCATGATTTTCTAGTATCATCTAAGCAAAAGCTGATTCCATTTGTTTATCTTATAATTAATTCTAACAATACCAACAAATCTTTATGCTCTAGAAAAATGAGAATTTTTATTCATCCTGAATACTTTCTGAGTACTTATTGTGAAATACATATGGTTGATCTTATGACAATTAAAGAAGAGGAGGCTTTTTGCAAGTTTACCTATTATGAAGGTTTAGTAAAACCTATTTGGTGCTTATTAACAGATGGCGGACCTGATTAAAACCCTCAATTCCTTGCAAATATTTTAAAATATTTGTTATTTTTTACAAAACTTGATTTAGATTATCTTATAATGCGAACATATGCATCGGAACAATCAGCATATAATCCTATAGAGCAAAGTATAGCGTCATTATCTAGCAAATTAGTAAGCATCATATTAAATACCTTTAATTATGGAAATCACCTTGATAGTATAAATGGTCAAATGTCTGTAATTGATGATGAACTTGGTCACAAAAATTTCAAACATGTTGGTGAAAACCTTTATGAGCTTTAGAAATAGGATCTTATCAATGAACAACCAGTTATCACTACATGTATTGAAGTCATGATAATTCTATATTTTCAGATATTAAAGAAGAGACATGGGAATGGATTGATCGTCATTTGCAGATTTGCAAATACTCTTTAGATTTACGTAAATGCGAAAATAGAAATTGTTGTAAAGTCTCACAAGCATCTTATGCTTTTGAACTTTATCACTAAATAATGGATTTCTTTCTCCTATTATGCAAGGACAGGATAAGCATTTTCTTAATTTATTACACATTTTAGAATATTTTTGTGATCGGCTTCCTGGTTATGATGAACATTACCCAAGTATATTGTGTGAATTGTATCATGAATTTGTATGTAAAAAATGTGAAAAATATTTTCCAACAAAGGCATTTATTAGAAAACATTAAAGATGAGGGATGAAACTCAAAAAAGGCAATTAATAAACAGCCGAAACTATATTAAAACATAGTGAGGAGTACAACGAAACCCTGAAATCTGAAATTAGCTGAAATTATATTAAAAACATAGTAAGGGATATGACAAAATTATTTTGAGGGAGTTTTGGCTGGCATCTTTAGAAAACATATTAAAATTATACATCCGAGTAAAAAAGGAAAATTAGTGCAATATATAATTAATGATAAGTAGCAATTTATGATACCAATAGAAAATTATGATATAGTAAAGAAAAATAATAAAATAGCAGATAATATACATATTAAGAATAGTAAAAATATGAAGCAAAGATTTCGCAACCTTGGAAGCAAAAACAATTTACATTTTAAATTAATGTTTATAAAGATTAATTTTTGAATAAAGTTGTTCCTTTTTTTTTTGTAAATATAAATTATCATTATGGTCTTATTTATTTAGAAAATTTAATAAAGTAACCTTTTTAATTTTGTGATTCTAAAGTAAAAATTATATGGAATTATTGTAATCTTTTAATTTATTTTTCTTTATCGTTATCAATTCAAAAACCGTAATTTAAATTATTGCTTAATGCTAAGTTACACAAATTTTCTTAATTGATTTTATGACAGGAAAGGGGGGTCTAGAACCTCAAAAAATATAATAACGTCATTTCTGGTCCTCTCCTAATTGATCTAAATCATAATTTTTTAATTTTATAAAATGACAACATATGGGAGGCGGTCAGTAGAAAAGGGGGAAATCCAAATTTTGGTCAAAATTTATATCATTAGATTACTTGGCTGATCTCAGTCATGTACACAAAATTAGCTTAATAATTAAAATTAACAAAAATTTTGGATTTCCTCCTTTTCTACTGACCGCCTTCCATATAGCGAAATTAAAAACAAATTAGAATAAGCAAGAAGAGATTATGAGAGTGTAGATGAAATATTGAAAAGGCTAAACGAAGTGAAGAGTTCGTTGAGGAAGTTGAATACAAAAATAAGGCGTGAAAAAGTGAAGAAAGAAAAGGAAAAGTTAGAGTTGGAAAAGAAAGATTTGAAAGAGGAGAGAGACGACTTAGAACACGAAAAGGAGGAGTTAAAGGAAAATAGGAGGGATAAGTGGAAGCAGGTGAAGAAGTTGCAAGATGCGTTATTAAAATTTGGCAAAGAAGGTAATGAACAAATTAAAAATTATACAAAAAATTATTTTCCCATTCATTTCATTTCATTTATTAATTTGGCATACTTGATTTTCTTGTATTTTTTTTTAATTAACAGAAGGTATATTAAATAATATGGATTGGTATTTCGTTGTCATATTCAATAATAATTTCAAGTATTTTAAATCTTACCCCATTTTCTTACTATAATTTCATTTCCAGAGCTCATGAGAAAAAGGAAAGCAACAGAAGGTAAGAATGTGTGATAGAAACTGTGATATCTATTTAATTTCGTCATTCCTTATAATTCTACTCTACACTTATAGTTCAAGATGTCAGTGCTCAAGTTCTTGATGTTTTTAATAAAAGACCTAGAGTGATGCTTCCTGATGTTGACGAACTTGTTGACTTCCTTGAACAGCCTCTCTTAGACAATATTAAGATACCTATTTTCTGATATGAATATAATAGTTATTTGGTTTCAGACATAGAAAATACGTGTACATCAGAAGACCTCAATATCTTATTCCAGATCAGCGATACTGAGAATGCTTACGAATTTATTACTAAGACGCTTGGCGTGCCAATTCGGAATAATTCACCTTCGCTGAGTATTCCTTCGTCTCTTTTTGGGATATCAACATCAGATTTCTTCTGAAACAATTTATTCCCAATGATATTTCCATCTGAAACTCCTCTTAGAAGATGAGTACCCTTGGTAAACGACCGGACTTTGGTTTCATTCTCAATCATGTTTGTTCTTTTAGGAAGGAGAAGAAATCGCTTATCAATAATGATGATCCAAATGCTGAACTCAGAGATAAACTTGATTGGATTTACGATTCAGCTCCATATGTTTTAGGTATGATCTCAAGTTCATTTCAAAATATGTTACTGTTACATATTAAATTAGATTCTTGTCATTATAGGCTATTACGCCAATGGACCTGAAGTAATATTTGTAGCTATTTGCAAGCCTTCGTTTGGGAACAATCCAAAAGTCATTAACATTGTGAAGTCAAACCTAAATCTGAGAAAAGATTGTATCTTGAATCTGCGACGAATTATTAATCTAAGTATTCTCATCAAGTCACTTCAAGATGTGATTGGATGGCATGAAACACCAGAGTTCTGTCCCATTGAAAGGTGAGTTGAGGGAACTTGCCACTGAAGTATTTTATATTCTGATGTCATTTTTGTCAATTATATTGTAGAGAGCGTCAGACCGTCGAGGTGTGTGTCATGAATAAGATTGCTTGTCTAAACTCATTTTGGATTTTGCAAAACAATAAAATCTTTAGTTTCGCTAAATTTTTACTAGGTGTTTGATATAGTTTCGGCATTTTTATAAGCTTTGATATAGTTTTACCTTTTTCCAAATTTTGCAGATTTTTTAATAAGGTTTTAATATAATTTAACCAAGTTTTACTTTTACCATTTAGACGTCTGTCTAAACTCTTGATTTCGTCCAGCAACCTTAGTCATGAATATTAAAAAGACCTTCATAAAACCTGAGGAATCTGATACACATGTTGAAAAACTCAAGAATGTTTACGGCATACTGACAAAGAAAAAAGTTCCAAATGTTGATTGACTAATTCATACTAATAATGAGTTAGATGTGGTGTATTTCAGATCAAAAGGAATGAGTGTAAAGCCAAAGAATCAGAAGGAACTCCTTGAAGCTATTTTCTGTGTGTTCGAGACACTGGTGGTAAGTATCTTGATAATTATCGGATGAATGTTTGCTGAACTCTTCTCATCTGTGAAGTTCAACATAAGTTTTGCATGGTGGAAATGAACCAATTTTCCATCAAGACATTCAGTGGCCCAACATCATTAAATTGCCTGGTGAACAATCAAAATGGATTCTTATAGACTGGGACGATGCTGATGGACCTCCAACTCGACCAGCAAAACATCTTGGAAAGGAAAATCATGCACCAGAAGCATTTGAGGAAAATCACGGTGGAGAAGTTGATATATGGGGTATATGAGAACTAATAATCGATGCGAGTCAATGGATCATAGGTCTTTCACAAGATATTATTCAATTTGGAGTACAAATGCAGAGTATTAATAGACCTAGTGCTCACGACGCTCTTGAATTTTTCAGGTCTCTCACTAAATAGCAAAAGATCGCAATAATATTTTAGAGTAAAAGCGTAAATAGATGTTTATGCTAGATAACACTATTTGTTAGCATTATAAAAATTAAAAAAATATGTATATAGGTTATATTGCAAGAAGTTGTGCTAGTTCACGCTAAACATAAATATATCTTATAAAAATAATTTCAGTATTATGTGTTGGGAAGGTTTATTAAGGAGACTTTGCGACCTTAATTAAAATGATAATTACTGTCTGTTGAAATCATATACAGTACTTTTTCTCTGGATTTGAAAAGGCGGGATTTATAGGCTATTCCGAAACATTGTAGTGGATCAGATTAATATAGTGCAAATGCCGCTCTAATCGAACGAGATCACGTGAGTATGTAGAGCTGTTTACGCAGTAAACGTCATTGGTGCATTATAATCGCAGTATTAGGGGAAAAAAATAATGTTGCTTTCGACATATTATTTTCCAAAAGCTCTCAATGATTTACAGATTTGGATTATTAATAAAAAGGCTGCAGTACATAAAATCAACACGGGTGAATAAATTATCTACTGTTTTACAAGATCACGATACTATAAACAAATAGTAACATTCTATTTTGCAAGGAGCATAGGTATTATTAGCATTCATGATTATTTGCGTTGATCATTTTCGCTAATTATTAAATGAAAAATACAATTATATCGAATATATAATAAAGCAATATACATGTTTTTTACCTCACCTTGATAAATCGAGGTTAATTTCTTATTTTCACGTGCAGTAGGAATAAAGCATCTTTTTTTACCGCGCATTTGTGTAAAAAAAATAACGGGTTAATCCACCAATAAAATTGGTTTACTTCAAAATTTTATTACGCATCGTATTATCATCGGAAAACTTGCCATAGCCATTGTTTTTTTCGGTTGGCATCGTCACAATGTGTTTTGTCTGCGGAGATCAGCAAAATTAAGAAACATCGCCCCAAAGTTTATAAGTAAAATTTCCACCCCACGTGTCCGGTGACACTTAAGGGGGAGTGAAACAAAAATTTTTTAATGCTGAAAAAATTCTGTCCCCAGAATACATAGTAAAAATGAAAACAGGGAGGCGTGACACAGGGTGACAAATTGTGCATATCACGTGGGGGTGAAAATCTTTGGGCGAAATGATATCAAGGAGGCGCAGAAATTATTGAAAATGATTAATACTTAAGAAACCTATCATAACATTTTTAACAGAATCTCCATCCGAATTCATATCAAATTAATTCTTCGAAACTCTCCAAAACAGAATAATTCAATGTTATGCAATTACCAGTCTAATGAATCCGATCAACAGAGTGTCAAACCAAACAAGTGGGAGCTCTTCTTCCGGAAGTTCTGGTAAGGAATCAATGCTTTATATGTGATCATATTTTTACAAATTTACAATAATTTGATTGCAGGTTTCGTAATCCAGGAACGATTTTTGATCAGATGTGTGCTGTTGTATCTGTTGATATTCTTAATCCACCGTTATAACCAACCTCGTCTTTTTCATTAGATTAACTCTTACACCTCATTCGATATTTTTTATATAAAACAAGCTTTTCTACAAGCATTTCTCACCATGTAAAATATGTCGACTATCCAGTTCAAGTCCGCTCTCATTAATGAATGTAAACAATGAAATGCTGTGAATACCACGGTTTTCAAAAAGGCAAAAGAAAGAATTTTGGGTGGGAATATTAATCGATCAAACTTTAGTGGGAAACAATGCATTGAAAAAACTTTTCAATCTTACAAGAGCTTATTATGTAAGTATTAGAGTTGCGAAATAAAAATTGATCATTTTATTAGACGACACGCAGTTATTTGGATTGATCTAGTCAGGAAAGAAGCTTAATAGGGGACGGATTTTGGTTGAGGCCGGTATTTATCCTGTTACTCATTTTATTCATGTCTAGAGAAGAGGACAAACATTCAATATTTTGATTATGAAAATACAAATTTTAATAATGTAAGTTATAAAAGTGCTATTAGCGTCTACGAAAAGATTTCATGAAATTTCTTTATTATATAGTTATCTATAAAAGGCTTCACAAGTAATAAATAAGACCATTTCAAATACAAGTTACACGATTTTACTATAGTCATTGTTAATTATAAAAAATTTATTAATTCGACTTTTTTCGTGCTTTATTTACACAGAAGAATTTGTACGCTTTCATCAAGTCTAAATAATTTTTTATATCTAATCAAGTACTAACATAGTTCATCCGATTAATATACTTCAAATAAGATACCACCTCATCTGAAATGTATTAATCAGAAATGATTAAATTATGCGTGTGCGTATTTTATTTTGCTCGCAGCAACATTATTATTAAATTTACCCTTTTGTAAAATCGTTTCACCTTTTTAACAAACCTCCAAACATCGAAACACAAATTTTGATCAACAAAAGTAAATGCTAGAATATTTCCAATTTTATCAAATTTAAAGACTTGTAGTTACATTGCAGATTAGAACGTCGAATACTTTCCCCGTTTAACTCAACGTAAAATTTATATGCAGATCTAGAAACCAAAACGAAATATTTAATACCCGTAATTTATAAATTCCAACTCCTATCACTTTCTTTTTTATTTATAATTAAAAGTAATATCAAGTAACTATATTCTAAAGTTTGAAATAATTACAATTTTTTCAATATACTATGGATCATACTCAAAGATATAAGGGCAAGGGTATGTGAAGAACAATTCAACTTCTTTTCCAGTGTATACCAGAAAAAGATATTTCTTTGTAGTATAGCAGGTCAATATATAATTCAAGAATAGCTGATAAGTTCTCCATTTGTTTTTAAAAAAAAAAAAAGGACCGGGAATTATTCTTACTCCTGAAGAAAAGCACGTATATAGCCAACTTTTTCAAGCTGCTGACGAGGATAAAAAAGATGTGATTACTGGAGCAAGTGCCGTGAAATTTTTTGGGAAATCTGGCTTGCCTCCTCAAGTATTGAGCCAAGTATGTAGTACCTATTTCAATGTATTATTATATTGATTTAATCATTGTTAAATTCCTTTAGTGTTTCTTTTTAGATCTGGCAATTCGCTGATAGTGAAAATGAAGGTTTTTTGACCAAACAAACCTTTTGCGTCGCGATAAAATTAATTGCACAAGCTCAAAATGGCAAATCACTCGATCCGGCAAACATTAACGCTGGTAATAATATAAATGAATATTTTACTTAAGTTTGTGTCCATAATAATATATTTCTTGTATTTTATATATAGACGTACCTCTCCCTCGGTTTGAAGGTGTCTATATTGAGCCATATCAAAAGTTAAGTGGACCAGAGATAGCAACAAATAATGCAATTACAAATGAAGATCGCGAAAAATATAAAGCCATGTTTTATAAACTCAAACCAGTAAATGGCATTTTAGATGGTGATTATCATTCTTTTATAAACGTAATAAAGGTTATAACTATATTACGATTTTAAATGTATATTTAATATTAATTTCAGGCGAAAAGGCTAGAGACATTTTTATGAGATCAAAGTTACCTGTTGAAAAGCTTGGTCAAATTTGGTATTTTATTTTAGTTTAAACACATGGAATTTCGTTATTATTTCATCATAATTATATATTAATGTAAATAATTACTAAGGACTTTGGCTGACACAAAACACCGCGGACAATTGGATTTGCCAGAGTTCATAATTGCTATGTCTTTGATTCAACAAATCATGAAGGGTACAATCAAAACGCTTCCTACTGAACTTCCAAGTGGATTTTACGAAATGGCATCAGGAATAGTTACAAGTAACCCGACTTCACCAAAATCTCCACCTTTTTTGGCTAGACATGTGACAGTTTCAGCTGGTTCACCTAGATCAGGACAGTCTCCCGTATTTGGACACACGTCATTAAATTCAAGTATAACGACGGCACAGGATAATTCCTGGGATGTGACTGAAAAAGATAAGGAATCATATGATCGGTTTTTTGAAACTCTCGATGAAAAGAGTAGAGGCTTTCTCACAGGTTTTTATGTTAAGAATACTTAGTTAGGTAATAATCTTTTTTGAAAATGAATTAATTATTGGAAATATTCAGGCGCCGAGGCAGCCAATTTCTTTATGAAATCAAATTTGACTCCGGAACAGTTGGCTCAAATATGGTATTTTCATTTCTTTAATTATTAATTCATTGTAAGATCTATAAAATTTATTTGAACTTAATTAAAGGGACCTTGCGGACGTTAGTAAATCTGGTCGTCTTAATCGAGATGAATTTGCTGTTGCTATGTATTTAATTAATAAAAAATTGATGGGTAGTCCACTACCTACAACTTTACCAACGAGCCTAATCCCACCATCAATGCGATCTATATCTGGTAACCTATGACTATTTATTTATATTATATTATTACATTTACAAGGTCTAATAATTGTATTTTCTCACTCACTCTCGCCACATACGCATACGTGTCATTATTCTCCCAAATATAGCAAGCCCATTTGCTGATGTAAAAAGAACGGCAACAATGGGTAACAATAACTTTGGTAGTAGATCGCGTGCTGCTGCTTCTCAATTAAGCGATGCTGATTTATTCTTTGATTCATCACCTCGAGTTTCCTCACCTAGTCCATTTTTTTCAAGTACTTCTCAGAGTAAGCATCAATGTTTATCGGATTATTTATATTTCTTAAAATGGTTTAAAAAGATTGTAGTTTATATTTAAAGTTATCTTCTTCATTCATCATTATTGATATAGTTGTAAGCGAAGTCGATCTGCTTGGTGACACCGATATAAATACTAAGATGGCACTTGAAAGCGGTGAAATAAAAAATTACAAATTACAATACGATAATTTAAACGATGCGGCTTCCGAACTTAAAACCAATCGGGTAAACATGGAATCTAATATGTCTGTATTGTCTACACAAAAACAAGATATGATAATACAAATTTCACATATCCGTACATTATATGAATCAGAAAATAAAGCTATGAGAGAAGTCAAAGCTAAATATGATTTGGAACATGAAAGTTTCGAAAAGGTCAGACAAGAGCTTTTGGAGGTAGAAAAAATACTTAAAGCGTTACAACTAGAAAGAGAACAATTACAAAGTAATATCAAAAAAGACCGGGATGAAACACTTGAAATTGTGAGAAGGATGAGAGCCGCAGAAGAAGAAACCGTGGTAATTAAAGCTGAGATAGAAAAGCTCAAAAAAGATGGCAGACAACAAAAAGGACGACTTGCAATAAATAGGAAACAATTAGTAGCTGCTGAGGGAGAAAAAGAAAAGTTATCCAAAACCTTGCAAAGTTTTGAAGATAAAGACAGCTCATCACAAAATGCAAATGATCATCCATTTGGTACTGGGATATTTACGTCTCAAGTATTTAATCAATCAAATACCTCACAATCGTCAGGAATTGATTTCAATGAGTCGGGTAACCTTCAAAAATTATCCAATCATAGTCATAATGGTTCCTTATCTTCATTAAATGGATTTGGTGTAAAAAGATCCATTTCAAATGCATCCATTGCCTCTAATTCAACCTTAGGAACTTCAAGCGTCAAATCGGCACCTTTGAATATTATCAAATCAGATGAAGCTTCCCTTGATAAACCTGCAACTGTATCAAGTTCTAAACCTACTGTATATGAGAATCTTTTAAGTGATCAATTATTAAGCGCTTCACAAGAGATTACATCTACTGCTAATGGTGCAGAAAGCAATAAAATTGCAAATCCTTTTGATTCTACCTTCAAGGATCCTTTTGGTGGATTTGGTATTCAAAATAATGATGAAAGTGTATCACAGCAAAACATGGTTAAAGAAATTGAAAAAACCGAAACCGATCCATTTGCATCATTTTCTAACTTGGACAATATTCCAGCATCTGGCAAGTCAGGTTTTGATTCAACCTTTTCTTCTACATTTGCCATGTCAAATAAAGATAATTTAAGTTCTGATTCATTTACGAAGGAATTTCCTACTTTGGAAGAAATCGAAGCTTCTGTAACGGGGAATATATCTAATTTGGGGTTTGATAATGATTTTACTAGTTTCAAATCTAATACCGACGAGAACTTATCAAATCAGAATAATTTGATTGATAGCGAAAGTTCAGCTCAAAATGAGAAAGCCGAAGATACCCTTATAAATGAAAATAAAAGGATATCTCAAGAATCTGCACCAGTAAATAATGTAGAAGTAGAAATTAAGAATGATAGCAAAGATACGAGACATATTTTTAATAAGGACGGATTTCCGTTCGCTGTTGTTTCTGATTCAGGAGAATCACCCGAGACTTTTCCACCGGTTCAAGATTCTGAGACTTGGGTTGCTATTGAAAGATCTGCTACAAATACTGCTACATCACAGGATGATTTTGATGCAGCCTTTGGTGATTTAACAGAAGCCAAAGTTACCAAAACTCCACCTATACAGTTTGATGCAGGGCTTGATGATGGGGATTTTGAGGAAGATGTTAATTTTACCTTTGATGCTCCTTCAACACCCGCAAATCCTAATAATTCTGTCCCAGGTTTAACAAATGATGTTTTCTCGAAGCCATCTACAATAGATTTTGATAAAACATTTGATGATTTTGATCCATTTTCACCGATTGCGGTGTCATCCAACAAGCCTAAATCTAATTTGGATGCAGCTTTTGGTGATATTTCTACTCAACCACCTAAAATAAATTCTGATATTGGTTTCGATGATGCGTTTGCGGAATGGATGCCAACTTCTAAGACTGATAACCAATCCACTAAATTAACAAAAGCCTCGGCAGCATCTCAACAAAATTTACAACAAAATGGGGTAGCTTCAGATGATGATATTGATGATGTAAAAAGTCTTATATCTATGGGTTATACCAGAGAGAAAGTTATTAATGCTCTTGAACTCAAAAATTATGATTTTGAAAAAACAGTTGAATTTCTGGTCGATAACTCATAATAGAATCATTTTGTTTAAATTTCTAAATTATTAAATATTACTAAGGTTATCATATAAAATATTTACTATAAATATTATGCAAATTCATTTTAAATATTTATTCATTTCATTCATTCAACATTATTTACAAATAAAATCTTATGGATAAAGTTTTTATCACCTAAGTGTGAAATTTGAAATTTGAATGATTATTCGCGTGGCCTGTGAACTTGCTTTAAATTACAAAAACTAGTATTCATTCTTTATGAAATTGCCGGCCGTATAAGAAAGCATGATTAATTTTATTTTACGCGTTAAACATTTGGTGAATGCGAATAAACGATGGATCTTTTGTGATGAAATAGTTAAATTAACGATATGAATTTTTCAAAGAAAAGCGCAATGATGATGAATCTATTTACTTGGATATAAATATGAATAAAAATTACGGTATTTCATAAAATCAAATATATCAATTAATTTAAAAAAAGATTAGACCCTGAAGATCTTTATCACTCAACACATCAATATTAAACCAATTGATTATACCATTATTTATAAATCATTTTCCATATAAGGATTGTTTATTGTCGATTGTTAATGTAAAAACGACTTATATCAGTATATTCATTCATGACTTTTATTTTATTTTCTTACCCAAAATATAGTTTTTAATATTTCTTTTTAAAATCATTCCTTTACTCTTTTTATTAATATTGCGAAAAAAAAAAAAAATGTATGAACAAGTTAATAATAATGAAGGAAATGATTTTTATTCAATCACAGTATTTACCTTCTCAACAATATTAAGTTGGTTTTTTTCTTTAGTATCTTATATAACCATAACTTTATCCTCATGGATATTGCGAATCCTTTCATGGTCGTTTACATTACAATTAAATTTTATTACCTTATTAATAATTTTTGTAATCGTGATAACCATAACATATTTGATTGTAAGATATCGTATATTGACGAAATATTCCCGACTTCCAACAGAAACGACAGCAACAAAACAAGGTTCATACGATTTACATCCAGATGATAATGGAGAAAATGTTAGTAATATTAAACATTATCCTGATGAATTCCTTAGCATGTTTTTGGAAGGTATTAAAATATTTGGATATTTGGAAAAACCAGTATTTCACGAATTAGCAAGACATTTATCTACAAAAAAGTTATTGGCGGGAGAAAGTTTAATGTTGGAAAAAGAAAGAAGTTTTTATATCGTCGTTGATGGATATGTTCAAGTATTTGTTAAAACGGCTAATGAAGAAGATATTGTATTGGACCCTTTTGAAAGTGATGATTATAATAGGGGATATCAATTATTAAATGAAGTTACTAATGGTGGAACTTTGAGTAGTTTATTCACCATTCTTAGTTTATTCACCGATGATATCGATATAAGGTACGATGAACCTGAGCAGAGACCAAATGAAGAAAAGAAGGAAGCGAAAGTAAAAGAAGACAATAGTGAAGAGAATGAAAAAATTAGAGAAAAGAATGAACAAATTAGCTCAATAGAAGATAATGGATGGTCAAATGCGCAACCAGTTCATACAAAAGGTGAACGGAATACAAATTTTCGCAATTCTGCTTCTTATAAAAGACCACATATTTTACGAAGGTTATCAAAAGATTTGGCAAACACATCCGTTAATCCTAATATAACAGCAAGGGCAACAGTTGACACTACATTAGCGGTAATACCAGCAGAAGCATTTCACAGGTTAACGGAGAAATTTCCAAAGTCGGTGGCAAATATAGTTCAAGTTATATTGACGCGTTTTCAACGCGTTACACTTTGGACGGGATACAAATATTTGGGATTAACAAAAGATTTATTAAGAACGGAGAAATTAATGAATGATATAGCAAGTTTTGGACTTTCTAAAGATTTCTTTAAAGCGGGAAGTATGGAAAGGTTACGAATGAAATTCGTTGGAAATAATAAAAAATATCATCCAAGAGAGAACAGACATCATGATATGGATATGAGTGATAGTGGATTAATTAATAAAGCGAAGAAGACTAAATCATCTGTTAGACCTAGAATTGATGTAATATATGAAAGTGATACAAAGGCTTTTTCATCAATCGGAAAAGGAACAATTAATGTTAATAGATATAATAACGGCAACAATCATAAAAATAATAATAAACCATATTTGGCAGCACCCTTATCACCAAATGCTAAAGCAAAAGTACAACCGTCCAATGGATCACCTACTAGTCCAACTAATAGAAAAGATTATGATACAGAAGATGATTTGTATCTTCGAGAATCTGTACTTGAAGGAATCTCAAAGGGTATTGGATTGCTACAAAGTAATAACAATAGTCGAAATGCTACTACGGTAACTAATTATAATAATCAACAACAAAATTCAAGACATAATTCACTTGATTCAAATTCATCACAAGAAATTGGTACTAGTGGTTCATATAGTAGTTTGACTACTTTATTGAATATCTCAGATGATGATTCGGTGGCGGAAACCATCTCTTCGATGACTAGTGAATTAGATAATGATGTTGAAATTTTGTATTATCAAAAAGGTAGTTTATTAGTAGAGGAAGGTGAAAGGAATGTAGGATTGTTCTTTGTCATTGATGGATTGTTAGATGTATTTGTCACGTCTAATGAAAATAATTTTCTTAACAAATATTCAAATCTTTCTACTTCTACCAAGGTTCATCATAAAAAGAAAGATTCTAATAATAATAACAACATTAATATTAATTCAACTACTACTAAAGACAAGAGTTTATTCATGATCAAACCAGGTGGTTTGGCAGGATATTTAGCTGCACTTACTGGATTTCATAGTTTTGTTAACATTAGAGCGAGCACAGATACGTATGTTGGATACTTATCTAAACAATCATTAAACAGATTAATGGAAAAAAATCCCAATGTATTATTAACGTTGGCCAAAAGGTTAATCACATTATTATCACCATTATTGTTACATATCGATTTTGCATTAGATTGGGTTCAAGTAAATGCGGGACAAGTATTACATCGCAAAGGAGATTCTAGCGATAGCATTTATATAGTATTAAACGGACGTGTACGTACAATTAATGAGAAAGCAAATGGTATTATTGAAATTCTAGGTGAATATGGACAAGGTCAAAGTGTAGGAGAATTAGAAGTGATGACAGGTGCTCCCCGTCCATATACGCTTCATGCCATTCGTGATACAGAATTAGCACGTATGCCAAGGACGCTATTTAATGCATTAGCGCTTCGACATCCAGAAATTACCTTACATATATCTCGTATTATTGCATCACGTACGAGAATACAGCAAGAAACCGATTACAACAATTCTAATAATAACGAATTTGGTAAAAATAATGCTAATCTTAAAACAGTTTGTATATTACCTGTTAATGGTAACGTACCTATAACAGAATTTGCAGAAAAATTAAAAAATGCATTGGTTAGGATAGGTGAAAATACCACATTATTAAATCAAGAAAGTGTTATTAATGTATTGGGTAAACACGCATTTAATAGAATGGGAAGATTAAAATTAATTAGTTGGTTAGCTGAACAAGAAGAAAATGTTAGAATTGTGTTATATTTAGCAGATGGAGGAAGTAATTCTTCATGGACTCAAACATGTATCAGACAAGCAGATTGTATATTATTAATTGGAACGGGAGATGATGATTGTTCAATAGGAGAATATGAAAGTTTTTTAATAGGAACAAAAACCACGGCAAGAAAAGAATTAGTTTTATTATATCCAGAAAGAAACTGTACTCCCGGATCAACAAGAAATTGGTTGAAGAATAGACCTTGGATTCATGCTCATCATCACGTATCGATGAGACTTAAACCACCAATTCTTGATGATAAGTCAAGAAAAAACACATTAATGAATATTAAAGATCAACTACAAAAATATTATCCGAAACGTATACCAAAACGATCACCCGCAATTTATACCGGTAATCGAAGTGACTTTTCTAGAATCGCAAGAAGACTTGTAGGTAAAAGTATTGGGTTAGTATTAGGTGGGGGAGGTGCAAGAGGTATTGCGCATATCGGTGTGATCAAAGCATTCGAGGAAGCAGGAATACCAATTGATATGGTTGGGGGTACAAGTATTGGAAGTTTTATTGGTGGATTATATGCGAGAGACTCCGATAACGTTGCAATTTTGGGTAGAGCAAAGGCATTTTCCGGTAGAACTAGCAGTAAATGGAGACAAATAATGGATTTAACTTGGCCGAGGACTGCTTGGTTTACCGGTCATGTATTTAATAGAGGTATATGGAAAAGTTTCAGCGATACGCTCATTGAGGATTTTTGGTTATCATATTTTTGTATCACAACTAATATTACTTGGTCACGCATGGAAGTACATAAAGCTGGTTACGCTTGGAGATATATTAGAGCTTCGATGTCATTAGCTGCTTACCTTCCTCCTTTATGTGAAAATGGGAATTTGTTAGTTGATGGTGGTTATATGGATAATTTACCTGTTGGCGTAATGAAATCGATGGGTGCAAATACTATATTTGCTGTTGATGTGGCAAGTCATGATGATACATCACCTGTTTATTATGGTGATAGTTTATCGGGATTTTGGGTCTTATTAAATAGATTCAATCCATTTTCTAAACAAACCAATATCCCTTCGATGACCGATATTCAATCTAGATTAGCTTACGTTAGCAGTGTTAAAACTTTAGAAGAAGCAAAAAATACACATGGCTGTTTTTATATGCAATTACCTGTACAACAATTTGGTACTTTGGAATTTAATAAGTTTGATGAAATTCTAAAAGTTGGTTATAAAGCTGGTAAAGAGATGATAAAAAAATGGAAGGATGATGGTAAATTGAGTCATTTGTTAGATCAGAATAAATCTGATGACAAAAGGAATAGAATTCGTAGAAGAAATAGTGTATAAAATCAGGAGAATTTTAATTTATATATTTTTAAAATATTTCAAGATATTTAATTGCAAGTTCACATTTTTTAATAAATTATAATTAAAACGTTAATTGATAATGTATCCTATGAATTTTTTTTTTTTTTTGAAGTCGTTTTTTGCTAATGATCAATTTTATGTCGATCCGTTTTTTGAAATATTTTCAAATTTGTTGGTTAAATAATACGATGTATTCCAATGTAGGTTATAGAGAAAGTCCACAATGGTTTACTAATGATACTTTACTAACAAACAGACGTTTCTCCGCTCGAGGAGTTAATGTCGAGTCAAGTAAACATCAATTAAGAGGAATTATCAATGCTCTGAAACATGCCACAAAAAGTTTACCTATAGAGCAACAATTGGTTAAATTTTCTGAAATTCCTAAAACGCTAGACGAAACACCTATTCCAGATATCATTCATGGTACCTTATTGTTTTTCGCTGAACGGTTCAAAGATTGGTTGAGTATTGATCATATATCTAATTGATTATTTAAAAAAATAATAACAAAATTTTCTTTTAAATTAAGCGATCACAATGTAATTCGTCGATGTATCCTTAAAATCCTTAAAGATAGCGAAAAACATATTTCGCGAAATTCACAAAGTTCGGAACTTGATCAAACTATAAGAAAAATCTTTTTCTTATTAGAAAATCAAAGTAATGACCCCATTGCACGCGCTCTTACATTACGGTTGGGTATTTTATATTTTGATCGTGATTTATATTATTAATCTATTAATGAGAATTTATTTAAATTAGATGCCTTGGTTGTATGTCGGTTTTATTAATAGAACGACTCGATATACAACATGGGTAAAATAGCATTTATCACTTTTTTTTTCTAGTAGGGTTTTAAAACATATTCATTCACGATGCTCAAATTTTTTTTTTTTTATCTTCTTATTTTGTAGAATTCTACAACGTTTAGACTCATCTGTTGAAATTGAAGCGAACGCTGCTATATTTGCTGCAGATAAGTTATGTTCAAAGACTGAAAAATTCTCGGCTCTTGCTTATGAGAAATTTGTCACATTACTCCAAGGTATTAGAATATTCTACAGACAATTATAAACGATATATTTATAAATTAAAATGATCTTCATTAATTTAATTTAATTTATTTAAAAGCCAAGAACGTTTCCTTAGCCTTCAAAACAAAATTGGTACGCGTCTTTCGTCATATGCATCGGGATATCAATTTGGCTCGTAAAGTAAGTAATTTCTAATCCCATCCTTTTATCTTTTCATCAATTAATTATTATTAATTTCCTTATACAGACAAGAATTATTTGTCTTCAATTACTTGAACAATATTCTGACGAAGAATTTATATTAACCATATTGAAAACATTGACATTCTTATCAAATCGTGCACTTGTTGATAGAACTGATCAGGTGAGAAATTATCTTCCAAATTTGTTATTTGAGTGAATTACTTTTAGATATTTGTCATATTTGTCTAAATAAATAAATAAATAAATATTCTTATCATTTCAAGATTTCATTTCCTTAGATTAATTTATTATTCAAATATGTACAAAATGGTCCTTGTGAGCGTGTTAAGGCGAGTTCTTTAGCATATTTAATTAAAATCGCACAAAAGGATTTGACTTTTGAAACTTTACACGTCTTGGTAAGAAATTCCTTTAACTTGATTCAAAGAATATGGTTGTACCTATATTTTCAATATTAATGATTTTAATTTTATACAGATATTGTTGAATATAGCGACTAGTGCGCCGGAACTTAATGTCAAGACCAAAGCGTTGCGTGTTTTGACTATATTATTTCAACAAACAAGGCTTCTCGGTGAAATTGTATCAATAGATACAGAGCATGAAACTCGTATAGAGGCACTTCATTTTATCCAACAATGTGAAGATATGATACAAGATAGAATTATTGAAGTCAATATTGTTGCAGTTAAATTAATGTCTGTGATAATTATTGAATCAAAAAGAATTGAATCAATATCAAATATTCTCATCGGTTTAGAATGGGGTGAGTAATTATAATAGATGAGCAAATGATTATATATATGTATTCATAACGTTTACTGAATTTCAATTTTTATAGAAACTTATTTTGGCGATCTTAGTAAAAAAATTGCAGAGTTAATATTGTCGAATTTAATTCAGTTGATGGAATTAGTATCCTCTAATCAAAATGAACGCAACAAATATGTTAAGCTGGTAAAATGTTTAAATTATATTTATAATATTATCATACACTTATGTTTAACAAAACAATTTATTTAATTTTAGATACAAGAATACCTGAAGTGTTTATTTTCGATTTGTCAGACTGATAACGATTTAATCAAGAACGTTTCGAAGATGATTATTAATATATTACGAAATTACATTGAATCCAATGACGGTAATCTTTTTAATTTAGCTAAATCTTTTTAAAATTAATTATTCTAATTTTTTTTTTAAAAAATCAAGACGAGATATTTGCTCAGTTATCAAAGTTTTTCCTAAAGATTGCCGAATATAAAGGCTCATTTATACAAGATTTAAGAGATGATATATTTTCCCTTATGAAATGTCACGAACTTATTGGAATGACTCGTTCTTTCGTAAGTTTAGTACGGATGCCTTTTTTGTTATAACTATATTTATTTTTATTATATCCCATATTTTCTTAGACTATGTTGGCAAAGACAGTTTTAAACGCTCGTCCTGATAATGTAAAACAAGCAAGGGAATTTAAGGAATCATTCATGGAAAGAATCAATCGATTCGGAAATCTTCAGGACGGAAGATATATACGGAATCAATGGGATATTTATTTAATTGGACTAGAAGCTGGAAAATCCGGATGTTGTTCAATTATGGGCGCCATAGTGGCTAATTTTGTAAACGAGGTATCTTAATTATTGCAATAAATTGATATTTTTTTTTTCTTTTTTCTTTTTTTTTTTTGAGAATTTCATTAATACCTTATTTAGGTGGATGTCGAGGCGCATCGGTTTTGGCTTAGAGCATTGAGTAATGCGTCAAACGCTGAGCAAATGATTTTGGATAATATTGATACAATCCAAAGACAGCTTGATCTATTCGATGAAGGCGTTAAGTTCTATTCGAAATGTGATACTGAATTAAGTGTTTGTATACATATCTTTATACTTTTTTTTATTTCATTCATTTTTAATAAACAGCATTGTTCAAATTTATTTAATAGGGCTTGATGTCTTTGATAGACAATAATGGAATTCGTGTCTTTGGAAAATGGTTTTGTCAACTTAGAGCAAGATTCTTTTCCACTATGAAGCTTATTCTAGCTCAGTTAAATTTTTTTGCTTCCAAAACACTATTTGATCCTGAAATTGTAAGTTATTTTATTATTATCATTTTGCAACAATTTTTGACGTTTTGTTAAAAATTAAAATAAAATGGTCAACATTTTTTTTTTTTTTTAAAAAAAAATTTCAAGGTCAAGATAAATGAATCTTTGGTATATTTGGCTCGTATGCACAACTTTGTGGCACACTCTTTCTTAGATATTGATTCCGAAAGTTTAGAAATTTTAGAATCATATCAAATATGTTGCTTGGTTTTGGCATACGCTATACAGTGTCTTCTAGTTCAAAGGTACATTTTAATTATAAATCATATAATTAGATTGAATTTCCGTATTAACTTGTCCTCGTTTTTTTATAGGGAAGAATCTATTGATCCTTTATTAATTCCATTGATTCGCCTTGCGCGTTGTAACGTGGATGATACCCTTTCGGGACAAGTTAATGATATGAATTTACGAAAAAATAAAGTACAATATGTATTACGGTCAAGATGTGTTGAGATTATAAAAGCTATAGAGATGATTCGTAGTAATGAATCAATTGTAAGAATTATTAAATTGAAATAAATCATTTAAAAAATTTATTTAAAAAAAAAAATAAACTATTTATATAATATTTCCTTTTTAATTATAGAATATAGTAACACGATTAAGTCAATTTGTTCTTTTCATTTTAAGTGTTCCAATAAATCTTCCACCATTTTTCTTCGAAAACAAAAAAGGAACTTATATCAAGGTACGTTTTAATTGAACTCATCTGGTTTTAACCAATCGGCTATTTATTTAACCTTCAATGATTTTAAATAGTGGAGTAAAGTACCAGCGTTAGGATGGAGTCAACGTGGAAGCAGAGTTTCTTCAACAACAATATCAGACAAAGTTGTTATTAAATTGGAAGGAATTGTAAAATTAGCTAAGAAATCAGGTAATTTCATACGTTATTTGTGATTTATATGATTTTAATTAATCTCTATTATCTTTGTAGTCAAGAAACATTTAAATAGCATTCAGTTTATTATTTTTGGATCAAAAGCTGATATGTTTGAGTTTGAAGAATTTGAAGAGACGTTACAAGGGAATTTCTCCTTTTCTAATTTAGCGTTGAATCTTAAAGGAGGGGGGTATATGAAATCCAAGAAGGTATTGTTAGTTTATTAATTTGAGTAAATTTTTATGGACTAAAATAACCACATTTTTTTTTTTTTTAAAAAAAAAAAATAGAATTCCTCAGAAATGTCTGTTATTACAATTTCAGTACCAATTACCAATAATTCTTTTACAACCACCGCTTTAATTCAATTTCCTAGCGATTCAGACAGTATTGGATTTCTTAATGTTCATACTAGAATCGTTGATAATAAAAGTATAGTATGGACGATTGGTCCTGATTTGTAAGTATTAAATATTATTTTATTAATGATTGATTGATTGGTTATTTGCATTCTAAACTAATAATTTCAAATGATTCTTGTAGAATAATTTCTCCTCCAGAGTATCAAAATAATCAATATTAATAAGGTTTACTTATAGATATGATAATTAACTTGTAAAATATTTTGTCATTATTAATTAAAAGTTGGTTGACTTTTCAATATACATATATACACAAATGTTTGTTATAAATCCAAAATTTCATATTATTTCAAATTTTATTCATTATTCAATGC